GAGCAGCACAAGTTTTCCAGGTGGTAATGTCACTGCAGCAAATCTCATGGGACCTTTAAGCAGGACAGAGGGAAACTCTCCAGAGGAAACAGAGGGGTTTATCAGGAGGACAGCTGCTTACTCCAAACAATTTCACTGTATGAACATGGACTGTGTGTGACCTTTTGGATGTGTGGAAAAACACAAAAAATACATTAGATCCTGACCAATCCTGTTAGTTTGTTGGGAGATTTAAATAAACAATTCTCCCTATTACCCGTAACCTATCTGCTATTAACGCTAGGGTGGGTAAAGTTCGAGAAAAAAGCAAGCTAGGGTGGGTAAAGTTCGAGAAAAAAGCAAGAGACAGCTTGATTTTGAAAGTATCCAACCGAAAAAAATAACAGAGCTGCCAGAGGTAGGCAGGTAGGCTGGCTAATCATTTTATTCATTCCAATGAAACAATCGGCTGGGCTTATTACATGTTTTTTTCTTTCTTATAGCATTAGATTTATTGAATGATGTCGGGATGTAAAGAATTTCAACAGATATAACAAAAAATGCCTTGTTGACAACTTGTGTGTCCCCCCTCCCCAAGATACACGTTTCCCTGCCAGTGTGTTCCATACAGTGTGCTGTACTCACTTCCTTCCAGAGGTGACTGAGATTCTTGAGGATTGATTTCTGAGCAGTGGTCTTGGCTCCACCCACCACCTCAGCCGCCAGAAGGCTCTGAACCTCGACCTACGAGAGACAGACCACAAGGGGATACCAACATCCAGAATAGATCATTGACACTGGTCGGGTGAGAGCGAATCATGTGTGACAGACTCTTTTAGCCCCTAGAGCAGGTAACTCAACACAGCAACATTTAACATCTCAGTTAAGAACTGTACGACTGGGTACAAACAGTAATATCAGAAATCCAGATCACATTCATATGAATCATTTCATTTTAATTTAATTTAAAAAGACAGACTCTCTTTTACTGACCATTTTCTTCCAGATGGCTCCTTCTCTTTTGTCTGGGGCAGAAAACACGCTTGGGACTAAAAGGCAGGTCCAAGACAAGCCGATGAAGGCGGCAGAGCCTGTGCTTTTACTGCAAATAAAGTAAGGCAAGCATAAGAGAGGGACGAGCACAGCCGGGATTAAATGCAACTGAAGACAGGCTATTTTTTTTTGAATCAGTCACATAAATATTCTTTTTATTTGCTGCTGTTTCAATAAGTTAAACCTGTTTCTTCTTCAAAGCCATGGTAGAAAGTGTGTTATGGTTTATTGTGTACTGCACTTGTACTATACACTTTACTACATAATGCATGCTTACCCTGACCGGTCAAACAGAGTGAAAAATACTACAAACTTTATAGAACTGCAAAACATCAGAGCAGTACCTTGGCTCTCCATTTTTGCTGATGACTCCACTGTTCAGCAGGCAGTGCAGAAGGCTGCTCACTAGGATGTCAGGCTGACTGGCTGCCAGCTGGGCAATGACAGAGGAGAGCTCTCTGCGTGACGCAGCATCCCTGGGAATCACACACAGGATGTGTTAACAGGTTAAATTTAAGACTTGTTAAGACCATTGTGAATGCAATTTAAGACCTATTTTACACCCATACTGGCAAAGAAATACAAAGGTATTGTTTCCTTGTCTGTTTTGTTTAGTTGCTGTTACAGGATGAGCAATAGAAATGTTTCCAAAAACAAATTTAAAAGCGACAAACATACAATTAGCATGAATTACTTAATCCAATCATCCGGTCAAAATTATAATCAAAATATTGGCCTAAAATTCTGATGATTGGATTTAAGACTTTTTGAGACCATATGGACATCCTGTATATCAGCTGAATAACAGGAACACCTCTCACCTGCGACACAATTCAACAAATAATCACTTCCAGGACAGTTTCACCCAAAACCTCACATTTATTATAAGTAATATTATAATAATATCTTGGCTAAAGTGTGTTTTTCTCATGGATGAAAGTTCTTACATACACCTACCGATATCTGTGTGGCGTGAGACAGAAGAGCTTGCATAGCCCTTTGATGGCAGGCTCTGGTAACTCTGAAAAAGACATTTTGAAGAAGCATTAGTGCTGATTACAGAACATACCTTTAACATAGTGCAGAAAATGTAATAACACAAGATCCCTCACCTTTGCCCTTTATACATTGTTTCAGCTCTCCAAATATCTCCTTGCGTTCTTTCACGCTGGCTGTAGTCACATTTACAGCGAATTTCTTCAGCGTATCTGAAACCTGGAGTAATAGTCACATTTAGTAGAAGGACCAGTCTCATGACTTCAGTGAAGTAAATAGCAGCAGTGACGTCGTCAGTCTGAGTTCATGATCATATGGGACAGAGAACAGCTGCTTCTCCTTACATTTTATATACAGTTCAGAGTCCCATACAGTCTGAAACTAGGGAACACTTGGCTTTTTTTTTTCTTGAAGAATGGCTGACATAGTTGTTGTCTCAGAGTTGGCTACATGTGTGGCAATTAAGGCTGCACAGATTATACTGAAGTACTGCAATGCTGCAGAGATACCTTGGCCTACAATTCCTGTTCCCCACATTTAAGATGTATGTTTGGTACAAAAATATCTGTCCAAATACTCGCAATATTAAGTTTGAACCACATTGTGCAGCCCTAGTGTTAATTCATATTTGGGACCTTGATTTTAAGATCAGTATGTAATCCCATATAGATATGTGTTTTAAATATTGTCTGAAACTGCTGTGAGTGGGAATGAGATGAATGAGAGAAATGTGAAACAGCTCTTTAGGTATTGAACTGACAATAAAAGTATAGTGTATATTGTGAATGGCAGCACATTGAAGGCCTATTTTTCAAATCCACTGGGCAGTACTGTCACTGTGCCAGCATCTACCACGCAGACCCCGGTCCTGTATATTTAATGTAGTCACAACATATCAGTTAACTGATCACAGTTCACTACTTATGGAGGGCGTGGCTTAACTCATCAACACATAAGAACATAGTCTGCCTAACTTAGGGAATTCAGTCCGATTGAAGTTCATGACAGTGAGTTTAAACTCCCGGTGAGTTAGTTTCCAAGACGATACTCTCCGAATAAAGCTCGAGTTGGCGTCCCTCTGTGGACAGACAGCAGTCCTCTGCCAGTACAGGGTGGCTGTCGTTAGCTGCTGCAGCATGAAGTCACACTGAGGCGACGTAGCACTGAGCTAGCACTGAGCTCGCTAGCTATTGTTGAATTTTGTCGACGTTTCTCGTTGAATGCCAAAACACACCAAGATGTTTAGAAAGCGGTAGCCGATATACCACGAATTCGGTTCCTTCCATACTTGAATCCCTTACTGTAAATGGATAGTCTACTGTTAAAAAACAGCCACACAAACCTGCGTGTCCGCTGCCATCTTGCCGGTCCTGATGCAGGAAGGACTTGTTGATGTCACTTCCGGGTCAAAACACACAACTGCTACGTAACGTAACCTTTATTTTTATGTTTTTATGTTTTTTTTAATTTTTTATTTATTTATTTTTTATTTGTGTGTGTAGTGTTAGTGATTATTTCACAAGTCAGTGCTATGTGGAGTAACACTCTTGTAAATATCATCTTTGCATACAGAAACTTTTTATTTTCTGATCAAATCAAATGAAGGGTACTGGTATAACTTGATAGTCCTTTGAATTTAGTAGGATGCAGCCTAAGATAAAAAATATATCTGTCAGTGGCCAGAAGCAAAGAGATTATTCACTGAATGCAGCCCATTAATAAAACCAAAGACCTCAACAGACCTTGTCCTGTCTTCATCCTGTCTTTTGTTGAAACCTTTTCTAAGAAAAGCTGTTTCAGTGAACGGTGAACTCATACTTGTTATCCAGACAAACAGAAAAGAAATGTTTCTGAAAAGAAATGACCGTTCTTTGATCGAAATTATTAATGTCTTTTCAATGCCATGAGCACCACAAAAAAGTCCTTTCACCTCTATTTTATTGGTGTGGTAGCAGAAGTCTCCAAATCGGCAAAACAACACAAACAAAGCAATCTGTATACATACAACCCACACATAAGTGAGAAAAAAGGGTTCATTTGTAATGTAAGTGAACTATCTCCTTAATTTAGCTGGTTTTGGGCCGCCATCTGTAGGCCACTGCTTACTGTTTCATCATTCAGTTTATTGTAGACACGTTACAGGCCATAAACTGTGCACATACCAAACATCATAAACACAGATGCCCCTTATCTCCATAGTGACAGCAAAATAATTTTGATGTATAATGTGTCAGTTGTAAATCCCTAAAACAATAAAGTTTAACTGCGGTCTGTCTGTGCTGATCAATCACTGAAATAGCAATGGTTACAGTGGAGCGGAACAGCTCCTCTATGTATCAATGAGTGTAAAAGTGGCACATTACCACAACACAAAAAGTAGTGAGCTGAAATCTGTTTGACTCAACAGGCCTGTGGTTCCAGTCACCCTGCACTTGTATTCATAAAAAATACCTTAATTAAATGTTTATATATATGTCTATATGTTGACATCATGGGTTTTAAATGATCTGAAGAGATTCACATGGTTGGGTTCTTCTTATGAAAATAATGGTTAATATCTCAACAGACCAGACTACAACTCATTTTGCAAAGTGCCCTTATGATATATGGATTCCGATTAAAACATTGGCCAGCAGAGGTCACTGTTGATTGCCATTGCTAAAACTGCAGATTCACTGATATCAAATTGAAACGTATATAGCTGTATATACACACACACACACACACACACACACACATAATATTAGGTTCTAAATACTGGTTCAATGTGGATTATGTCTAAAGGGTAAATCAAACACTTAAGCTAATGGTTTGTTTGTATAAACCCAAAGTTTGTGTTTCATTTTAGACTGGTCATTTGACAATACTCACAATCAATGAGCAAAATATGAGTAGTTCAAGACATGATGTGTATACATGATGTTATAGTATACTATGTATAGAACAAGTATAGACATGCACGGATCAAGGCACCATTTTTAAATTCCTTTAAACACATTTTAATAATACAGACAACTTTGGGGCATTTAATTTATGACAGATGGAATTTCATGTGACCATACATCAGTTCATTCGTTCAATTTGAAGCTATCTGAAGCAGCATATATTCATGACATTTGTTGTTGTTTTTTTCTCTCTTCTTGACAGTTGACTCCCCAAATCATAGTTTGAATTTATGGTGAAATTTCTCTGATTGGTGCTCTTGAACACGAACCACTTCAGAGCAGCCAAATTATGTTTTGTCTAAAGAAAGTTCATGGTCTTACTTAGAGTGGTGGGGTAGTGCCCAAGAACTTTCTTTTTAGATCTCACCTTCGTGAAGATTTGTGAGTGTGTTCCATTGTGGGCCCGACAGATAACACAACCTTTGAAAAATGACAAAAAACACAGCGAAGCAGCCGAGCAATCTATGGTACCATAACAACTGAAGACTTACACTAATAATGAAGACTGGGACCAATAGTCCCATAAATATCACTAAACACAGAAATATCCCATTTTTGAGCAGGTCACGCGAGATGCTACAGTCCAACAGTTTGCACTCCTCTTTTCCTGGATCTTTTATCTTTGTACACTTTATATTCTCAGTCCCGATATGTTATTTCCCTTCCATCAGCAAAGGAGCTACTGTCCTCCGCCAACACTGGCAAAGATTATAAGTCCGATGATAATGATGGCAACTACCACTCCGATGCCAATAAATAACCATTTCATCTTCTTGTTCTCCCATCTTTTCTGTTGCTTCACCTGGTTGGTCTTCTTGGAAAAAGTTTTACTCTGGGGAAAAAAACACACGCAAACAGAAGACGTTATTGTGGAACTACACTGTTTTAAAGCAGTCTTGAACATATGGAGCATATGCCAAGACAGTAGGGATTTATTTGCCCCATACTAACTCTGACACTTCCAAACCAGACTAAGCAGGGGTGCCTGGACCTGGTGTCAAATATTGTCGGATTCAATTATCTTTTAAGATATGATAGGCTTAAGTTCAATGAAAAAAGACAATTTATTGATATTTATATTCAAGGCTTTACTAATGTACCACTCTAATGTAATTTTTTTTTAGTTAGAAATATCTTGATTTGGGTGTTTCAATATATGTGATTGTTTACGATTAAATTAGCATGTATTTCTGCTACCCATTACTCCAAACCAGAAAACACCTGTTTTTCTACTTTGACAAATGACTACATTTATATGTGTATGTATTTATATGAACCACAGACTGGATTTCAGAGACATATTTGTAGATTTACAAGAACTCTGTGTGGAGTACATTTCTCAGTTGTCTCCCTACATTCTCTTTCTTGGAAAGGCTATATTCAATATGTTTATACTGACAATGGATAAATGGCCAGTCTGCGGGTCAATAAGCAAGTCACACTGTTCCCACACTGCCCCTCAGCATGTGTTACATCATAATGTTGAGCTTTTCGCAGAGGACTAAAAAATAAACAGGCAGATGGCTGAGATTTCTGTCGTACAGCCACTTAGGGTTGCACTGTGGGATAATAGGAATTATGAGCGCTCGTTGAAGTTCTCAAAGATGAGACACCATGGTTAACTTAAATCTGCACTAATCCATATTTTTATATCAACAATGGATCAAATGACTGTATGTGGCGTGAAAGGGGTAGCTCGGGATGGCAAACCCACAAAGAGTTATCACCAGACTCCCACGTTGCCCCATCAACACGTGTTATATCACTGTTATACACTGTTGAGCAATTCTCAGAGGAGTAAAAGCAAAGCAAGCACACAATGGAGAGTGACTACAATCGTATAATACAGCTTATGTTTATCACTGTCTGCTGGATGTGTAAGTAATTAACTCTTTTAGTAATTAATATGTTGCCATATTAAATTGATGATATAGAATATTTCAGTGTTGTGTTTATAGTTTGTTTCTGCTGCCCCCAAGTGGCCAAAACAGTTAACGCAGGTTTAAAGCTGCATTTATTTTGCCACTGACATATCATCACTGTATAAAGTTGTTATGACTAACAAAGGTTGGTAAACAATCCAGCAGACACAGCATTAGTATTAATTTTCCATGGTTCTGAACAATGCAAGTTTGGTTGCTGAGCGGGCAAGATATTTCTTTTCTAGTTTGCCCGCTTGTAATCCACGTCATCTCAAAGTTTAGTTCTTGAATTAAAATTTCAGTCGTTTGTCTGTCTCTTTCTCTGAGAAGTGTGTGATGTAACATAGTTCCAACGGGGCAATGTGGGAACGATGTGACCCACTTGTCGACCCCCGGACGGACATTTGCCTCGTGGCATGTCCTGGACTCACTCCGTCGTACCCAGGGAGACCAGCTCGCTTCATTCATCTTAGAAAACAATAGGAAATACCTCTCTAAAAATAGCACCATAAAACACAATCAGGATGTAAATTGTACATTTGTTTTCCTCTCCAGCTCCACCTAAGGTGTATTTATAGACATCAATATGACATTTCCTACTTTTAATCCCTAGAGGCCCGTGGAAAGGGAGTCTGCGTGCCATTTGTTCTACTCATTCACTTTAACCATACAAAACAGGGACTTCCACAGAGAACTCTTGGCTAAAATAGCTCTGGGTTACCTTTTCCAGCAGCTCATCAGCCCTACCCTCCAGGTCGTCTAGTTTGTCACCTCTTTCATCAGCCTTGCTCAGGTTGTCCAGCATGATGACCTTGACCTCCTCCACGTCCTCCTGGGCCTGCTGCAGGCGGCTCTTCCCATTCTCCTGTCCAATCAACACACACAATATGGTTAAAGAGTGAGATATGGTTGCAACGGTATGAGACTGTCACAGTACGATAAGTGTCTCAGAAAATATAACAGTTTCATGCTTTATGGTATTACACAATTATTATTATTATTATTATCATCAGTTACAATCATCCTTTTTTGTGTGTATTTGTTATTGCTTTTGATACTTTTATTTCTTGTTTCTTGACATTGTTTGACCTTTCCTTTACTGAAAAGATAATGGCATGAATAATGGTAATTTCTGAGAACAATCTCCAGGCACACAGGATATGGGATAATGTGTGGAAGTTAGCATTACCAGTCATCCCCTCCATCCCATAGAGAACGAGGGAAGTGCTGAAGGTTAAAGTACTCAAATTGCTTATTTGTGCATCAGTTTTGTAATTACTGCAATATGTGAAAGCTCCTTTCAAAAACAAATTGATCTCACAGCTTGTTGTCACACAGGCAGCAGTGATACATGCCAGCATGATAGAGATCAGACTGGCTTGCTGTTTCATAAACAGCAGTGAGTGTTAGTGGGACGAGCCATCCTGCTGTGACATGTTTTTCAAGCAGGGGCCCATTCGTTGGTAACTTTTTAAAATAGTTTTTTAAAAGCATATAATCGAAGAAAATTGTCGATAAAAGTAACTTTCCCCAGAGCTGAAACTTAACTCAAGTTGAGAATAGAAACAAGTTATGAGACATGAAACTGCTGAAGTGAAGTGGGACAAGTTTTTCAAGATCATCAAGAATGTTTTCTAGCAGAAACTGTTTACACCATCCTCTACGTCGGCTCGAGGAAAACAGCAGCACCCAGGACAGTAGAACTGAGCCAGACTGCAACAATAACAACAGGGGAACTACAGATCCCTGGAGCACCAGGATATTTAGAGAGCAGCTTGACCTCAAAGCCATTTGTATCCTGACAGGTTTCTCCTTCACCTTTTCACCCTGAGCCATGAGAGGAAGCCACCATCTCAGAAGTCGACAGGAACAGGAAACCAACAGATAGAACAAAACAAGTGCGCTCTCTGCGTCTTGGTTTTATTATTCACTGTCACCTCCTCTCAAAAACCTACTGTATGTTTACTGTGTACACGTTCCCAGTAGGTTAAGAAGAGTAGGCTCTAACCAACTGAGTGGTGGAAACTGATTCATTGATGCCCTGAAAGAGTAGTTATCTCATTTTTGGCACACCAAATGGTAGTTGAACAATAGTCTGTGTTTAAAATTCAGCCTGCGACGTCTTAACACAGGAAATGCTGCCCATTCCAAATCCCCTCCTTGCTTCCTTCCTTCCTTCGCTCACTCCCTCCCTCCTGCCTGCATTAATGTGCCTGGCATAACCAAGGAAACAACACCCACATCATGTAATACAATGTTAATTATAGCAGTGTGGTACTCACCCTGCATTAACAGTGAAACTGCCAATACTAATCTTGTGTCTTCATAATAGAGTTCATTCATCTTTAAAGTCCTCTCCAGTCAGAAATCAGTGTTTCTTCTTGTTCCTACTGTGTGATGTTTGAATGCTGTCTGTGCAGAGTTTGACACTAGAAGGATTTTTTCACATTCATCTGCTGAAAGTGGAAAGTTTCTCTGTGCTCACTGAAAATCAGATTTTAAGGGGTGAGGTCTACCAGCATAATTTGTGACATCATAAATAGCTTGGTCCAGTATGTAACATCTACAGTGTGATGTAGAAATCTCAAGCCACCAGAGCACATCCATCTTGTGTCCGGCAGGAAAACTTTAGAAATGAACATTTGCATATTCATAGAATCTGGAGCTTTTAATGAAGTAGAAGAAGGCATGGCCTTTAAAAGGTTTTAATGTGTAAATGTGCACTTTATTTTTTGCAGATAATACATATAATTATTACATTATTGTTCCAAGCAGACTATGTGTATGTATATTTCAATACAGGTCTGGAGGGGATCTTTAAGGAGAGCATGCCTGGAGGTTATTGGGGTGTAACACATGCTAATGATGACTGCCAACAATGCATTTTTGATTCCTAACTTAATGGGATTCAAGAGAGGACCCACAAGAGATAATATTTACATTTATTTATGTAAGTTTTATTTTTGTGAATTTTATTTACATCCAACTCTCTCACACCTGCTATTCTTCAATTTTAAATCACAACTTGAGTTGACTCTTGTCAGCACTGTCAAGACATTCATCGTGCTTTTAATTCAATTCAATTCAATTTTATTTGTACAGCGCCAATTCATAACAGAGGTTATCTCAGGACACTTTTCAAATAGAGCAGGTCTAAACCGAACTCTTTATAACATCTTTTACAAAAGTTGATTCATTTATTTCATATATTTCAAGGTATTTCGACTTGGCACCAGAGTCGCGTTTTTCTGACAAGATAAAAACTATTTTGAACCTCCGTTTTGTTATTATTTTTGATCAATATTGCTCATTAACATGAGCAGGTACAGTTGACAGCTGCAGCCGTGTTTGCCCCTCCATTACCTTGTGGGACTTTGCCCGCAGATCGTGAAGGGTCAGAGTGTGCATTTAAAAAGCACTCTGCCAAAACAAAGATCCCTCTCTTTCCTCTCTCTTCTGTTACCCATTAAAAAAAGTCACTGAGCCAAGAGGAGATTGATATTTACTCACCATGTCTGTGGCGTGTCGGACTGTGTTTGTGTCGAGGCTGTCACCGGATCCAGTGCATATAGTACAGTGCGACTCGAGTCAACTTTAGAAACAGGAAACACAGCAAAGTAGCTCCGCAGTTTTAAAGTGTCCTCAGTGTTCCCCTTTATGCTCTGAAACACGTCGGTGCAACGTTTTGCGGTTTTCTTTACACCTTTTATTTCAGTGAGAGTTGTTCTGTCACTTTCGCTTCCCAGCTCGCTCAGCCTGTTCGACTCCGTGCTCTCTGATAGTGATGCCTTCACGTTTTCCCGGAAACCTTAGAATTACGATAGGCGGTCACGTGACCCCAATGCGGACTCGGTAATGTCCGGACATCCCCGGTTTTGGTCGCTTGTTAAGAAGAAGAAGCTCTCAACTAGGACTGATGCTGATGCTTCAGATTTCCCCGTTTACCACACCACAGTCCACAAAGGGTTATGTAGACTCTTTTACTACAGTGTTTCCATTTATGCTCTTTACTCTTGTTTGACACCTGTCGTTACTGGTGAGGAAGAAAATTCACATTTTACAGACTTGCTAACCAAAAGGACCCCCTACTGTTTGGGTCCCTTGATCTTTATATACTAAATGTGTATTCTTCTTCCCCCTTGACCAAACCCCCACATCTACCTTTCCTGCCCTTTGTCTCCATCACATTTGGTCTGATCCCTACCTTTTGTCTTACTTCCCTCTGACTCTGATCATCATGTAACGTCTGGTGACTGCCTGATCAATGGCTAGCATTAACATACTGTCTATGTATAAAAGTACCTTATTTCATTTCTTCTGGGTCTGCTTACCGACTCAGACCTGCTATGTGTATGTAAGTTCACCAGGATGCCGGCATGCTTTATTAAACTCACACCACCACTTCAGAAATTAAGATTTTGCATTCAAAACATATCTCACCTCATAAAAAAGAAAGCAATTTTCAGCTATAGCCTATATAAAGTAGTTAAAATTACTCCCATCACAACTAGCTACAACATTAAAGCAGCCTATGTTAATGCATCAATATAACTCAGTAATATATCCAGTTTTACATGATGACTATTTCTGACATTGGTGTAGCCTGCTGCTAATAACTATGTACTTACATATGTGAATGCAGCCCATAGTTAAGTTTTTAGTTAAGTTGCCTTACTTTTACTTAAGTACTGGCTCTGACTACTTCCTCCACCACTGCCAAAAAATGTGTGTGTGGGGAGTAGGTGTTGTGGTGTATTTTAAAGTCATAAATCTGCAAAAGAGTGCAGTTCTGTATGTTACCCCATTATTTTGTGCTCAGACAAAGGTTATTGTTTGATTCACCACAGGGGACCAAAACATGTTATGCTACCTATTTTTTAATGTTTTGAAAATATCTTGTAAAACCCTGAATTAAGGACATGAATGCATATTAAGCAAAAATATACCTGGGGTAATATCTCTTATATAGAAGCCGAAGATCTTTGGTCGCATAACTGAGAACTGACCATTGAAGTTGGTAGATTCCAAAATATTCAGGAGGAGTGCAAGCTTTCTGTTTAGGGAGAAGTGGAAAGTGAGTCACATCGTCTTTTGTTACATACTATGATGTATTACTAAGATGACTACGATGACTCATTGTCTCTTTACACCTTTGTCGTGAGCATTTAACTTGTCCATTTCTAGCAGCAGGCCTTTGCAGGCTTATTGCAGAACATTGTGTGCTGTTTGGTCTCTGATGGGTGTTGCCTACTTATGGGCCCTGCAAGATTTGAAGAAGGTGACTGCTGGTCCACCCTTGTGAGAAATATGTGTAATATTCACATAATATCCCCACGGGGACTTACTGTGTGTATTTGACTCTAAAAGTACCTTTATGTTGACCTTATTGCACTTTATGGTACTTGAGAATTCCCTCATAATAATGTTTTACCTATATTTTAGTAGTAGCTGCATTTTTGAAAACAAAACAATGGTATCCTTGTCTTGCAACAGACTCATTTGGGGTTTAAATCATGACTGGTGTGTGTGTGTGTGTGTGTGTGTGTGTGTGTGTGTGTGTGTGTGTGTGTGTGTGTGTCTGTCCCTGCCACACTTATGATAAGGAGCTGACAGGCTGACAACGCAACTGCGTCACACACAAGCAATTAAAATTCTTTCCAACAGTCTTCAATTCATTCAGTTGTATGCCAAACAAAACACCATCAGACAGACCCCATTACCGCCTCTGATTATGGAAAAGGACCAATAACTGAGATCAAGACGTACTTAGATCAGAAGGAGTTGCTGCAGGATTAATTCATAACACCAGTTGGCACACAGCTGTACTACACTTTCAAAAAGAGGCTATGAACAAATGTAGGACGTAAAGATAAAATGACAAGATTGAAAGTAAAGAAATATCAGAAACAGGAAGTAGGGTAATTCACACATTACTACATAAAACCTTAAAGGGGTAAATTCAAAATTCAAAAGATCAAAATTCCCCAACCTTTATTTAGTTGACTGAAAGAAAACATTGGTTTAGATCACCCACACCTATTGCTGAAGCCCTGTAAGTATGAATTGTTGGCTTAAAGGCCTCAGGTTATGTCCATAAATTAAATTAACTCACTCAGATTTAAAAGATTCTGGATCATTTTCTTTGTACACATACTATTTTACAGAATATTATCTTGTTTGAAGGTTCAACTTCATCCCCTTGGGAGCACTGGCATGCTGAGCAGCAAATGGTAAGAGAACAGAGCCCAGCAGGGATATAAAACTAAATACAGAACTAGAATGGATTACATGTAAGTACTGTGGGAAAAGTACCTGATTGCAATGTGTAATGGCCTAGAACATCTAAAAACCTGTATCATTATCAATCAATATTCTTTTCCAGCTATATTCCAGCTAGACTCATTGGTTATCTACATTATTACATGACATTGTTAGAAATTCTGTGGTAGTATGGTGGTACACTGTACCTCTTTAATAGTAAAGTGTGTGGCACATGTAAATAAAGCACCCAGGGCTGCAACATCTGTCAACACAGACCTAATGAGTCATGAATAAATACATCTAATCTAAACAAATACATACTCTGACTAATATTACTGATAATGTGCTAACAGAGGAACAGTAACAAGGAACAAGAAAAATCCTGGTCCTGTAACTGCTTCTATTCATCCTAACATATGTGTTCCTACTCAGGCTAAAGTTGTTAATAAACAAATAGTAACTAAATCATTAGTGTCAATTATTTTCTGTGGCATGTCATCAGAAAAATGTATTACTATCATGTATGTACATAGTACTTCATGGGACCACTAGAACTTCTTCTACTACCAATATGACTAGCAATACTACTACTGCAGTAATATTAGCATAGTTTAATGGTATAGTACAGCATGTAATAATATAATATGTTCTATAATGTTATAGTGGGCCCATAGTTTGTATACTATACTATGATATGTTTGCTATAGTACAGTAGTGTAGTTCAGGATTGTTGTATAGTCCAGTGTATACTTACCATAGTAGGTATACTTGCAGTACTGTAGTGTTCTGTAGTTATTGATTTGATTTTTGATCGATCAATTGCAGTATTGTGTATTGTATAGTTTAGTATAGTATAGTATAGTATAGTATAGAGTGGTGTAGTATGGTATAGTATAGTATAGTATAGTATAGAGTGGTGTAGTATGGTATAGTATAGTATAGTAGTATAATATAGTATACCGTAGTATAGTATAGTACAGTCCAGTCCAGTACAGTACAGTATAGTATAGAATGGTAATGGTATAGTATAGTAAAGTATAGTAGTATAATATAGTATTCCATAGTATAGTATAGTACAGTACAGTATAGTAAATTATAGTGTAGTGTAGTGTAGTATAGTATAGTATAGTATAGTATAGAATGGTATGGTATGGTATGGTATAGTATAGAATGGTATAGTATAGAATGGTATAGTATAGTATAGTATTGTAGTTTAGTGCAGTGGTATACTATATTGTGTGAACCATACAATACAATAGTATAGTAGAGTACAGTACAGCATAATACAGTAAAGTGTTGTGTAAATCTGCATCAGCCTCTAATATACCTAATTATTTTACTATTGCATCATCAAAGTGCACATATAATTACCATAATACATCTGGGATAGAGTATTTAGCATTTTTCTGACGGAGGCAGCACATGAGACTTTGTCAGGTCGGTGCTGCTGGGGTCAGAGGCCCGGCCAACAAAAGGCTTCTTCTGGGAAAAGCTGAATGAATACAAAGGCCATATTCAGCATGCTGACCACCCTCCCTTCACATCATTGTCTAATACTCGTCCACGGATGGCAGACTCACATCCACATGACCACAACAGTCTGAGTCTAGGCTGATTTCCCATCAGTAACAAATGAGCTTTCAGTGAATGTTTTTGTTTGTGTTGGTCCAAGAGGCTGTTGTTCCAAAAACCCATCAGGCCTTTTGCCATGGGAATAAAACCTTAATATTTCAGTCACCACTTGTTGACTAAACAGCACATTCACACTGAGATACGGAGGTTCCCTGCTGTTGATGCAACAGGAGAAGTGAGCCTGTTACAACCTGTTCAACAGTCTACCTGAGCATTCTTTTTGCACAGTAACCCTTACACAGGTTACAGTTTGATTTGAATGCAGTTGGAATGTTTGGTGGGCATTTTCTGATCCATGTGTTACCATTATGTGAAGGCAGTCAGGACATTTTAAAATAATGTGATAAAGAAATCCTTGATAAAAGCCTAACAATAAATATGCCAGTTAGTAGACCTTAAAGTTGTCTCTATCCTTAACAGATGTGTGCACAGAGAAGGCATTCTGGCAACTAGCCTCACCAGCTGGGTCTGATTTACAGAATACCCATTTTTTTTCTTACTACATTCTTCACAGTACTCAAACTAATATGACACACTTTTGTTTTAAAGTTTGCAGAGTTCAATGTCGTCTTCAGTGCGTATTTCAAACACAGACAACTTGTGTTTACCTTCTTGCTAGTGCTTACTTAGTGATCACACTGAACAGAAACCAAAAGTGTGAGAAAATGTTCCACAATGCCCTTCATAGTTCTACCAAGAGCTGATCTGAGCAACCAGAAAAGCTGCAAGGGAATCCCCACAGATCTAGTACTTCCTTATATCTCAGCTCAGTCTGACTCTCTGTCTCCATCTTGTGTCTGTTCAGCAAACAGCAAAGACGAAAATAATACAAGTAAATACTGTTGTATTTAGTATACAATATTGGAGCAATAAAACCATTAAACATAAATTATCAGGAAAAGCCAAGGAGATTAGGACTAATGTGTCCCAGAACCTTGTAAAACATAAATAAGAGAATTGGATTAGCTGCTTATTCAGAAATCACATACAGCTTCTATTGGTCCATTTTCTGACAACAAAAAAAGAAAGTACATGAATAATAGCCTCCAAAAACAGATACATAACACACTGCTAAAAGGTAGTTACAAATATACATATAGCAGAGGATATGTTGACAATTTAGAGTTTATAATGGGAATTATTTTGACCTCTCTGAAGCTAAACTGGTATTGTAACAGCAGAGATAGGTGGGAGGTGAGACACACAATATCTTTGTTCCAGGCTTGTGTGTATGTATTTCAGAATATAATTTTCTAGTTATAGGCTATGTGTGAATTGTGAAGACCCATTGGTTGATATGAGTCCAACAGGGGGGACCATGCGGGGGCTGTAAATAATCTCTCAGCTGGTTGGCTAGAAGAGCTTGAACTTCCAAGACTAACAGTGTGGGAACAGACAAGGGCCTGAAAACTGACCTTTAACAGCTGAGCCTGGTGCTGTGTTTATTGAATCTAAGTACCGAAGACATATGTCAAAGTGTGGAGCTCTTGTGCCTCTCAAAGCTGTGCTCTCTGTTGAGTTGAAGAAGATCTATCTACATCTGTATGTTATTGTCCATGTATTATATTTAATATGACCAATGTGTCTGACATAAAGTTACATTGAAATTGAATTAATCCTACACAGACTTAAAAACTTTTTGCATTTGACATTCTACATACATTTCTGCATAATCTTAAAGTACTCATTGCTAATAAGACGAGATGTATTAGTCTTAAGGAGCCATACTTCCATCTTCCTGCCATTCATACAATTAAAGGTAATGGTCATTTTGATACCACTATAGATTATAGCCCACAAATTAAGCTTGAAGTGCTGAGCCTGAGCAGGGAGAGAGACGAGACAATGAAGCAAGACAATCTGTATTCTTAACACACTGTTCCACTTTCCTCTAAAAGAAAACAGACCCCAAACTCAATAATGTGTCCCTGAAAGTTTACAGAAAGAATTTATTTGATTTATTATCCTTTTGACAGAGCAATACAAGATAAATACACACAACATCAAAGCCACAAGCATATGTTAAAAGGCCTTTTTTACATTCTGGCTGCATTTCATTAATTCCTGGTACTGTGCATGCTGGCTCACTGGCCTGTAGCCTGACTCAACTTGCAAAGCTACATGGAACATTGCCATCATGAATGGGGGGGGGGGTAACTGTAATAATATTACTAAAACGTATTAGTATTTATTTAGTTACTGGGGAAGTAATATCATTACTGTGGTATAATTACTAGCAATGAGTTACTGTCCAGCACTGTATACAGCTGAGCTTTTCCTGCTGATTTAAATATTTTAAGGTAGTTCCTGTAATGATAACAAGCATTTACTAAAAGAGACACATTTTCTGTAATGAGAAAACTAGAATAGCAGGTTGTACAGGATGTGGCAGGGTCATTCCCTTTGATGAGCAATGGATGGTGGGTTAACAAGCCTATCACCTAACAAGGTGCAGCTGGAACAATGCCTTACCAGAAGTGCTTAATTCAAAGTTTTGGTCAGAGCAAGAAAAAGACCTTGAGTATGGATGGTCTCCATTGACTTGTTGTACTAGTTTACCTGTTGGGGATGAACATTGAAGTCTAACAACCTTTTTATTTGACCTCACATGCCACTGTAGTTGCACAGTATACCAAAGATGCGTCAGTGCAAGTGTATGAATAAAAATACCTGACACAGCACACTTTCATACAAATTGCAGTAAAAAGCTGAACTCAGTCAGTGGTACTGACCGCTTCTTCCAATTCCTTTGACTTGTTGTCGAGGTCGAAGAGATACTCTTCTCTTTTCATGATTTTTTCGAAATTTGTCTTCATTACATCTGTGACTTCATCCATCTCAGCTCTTATGGCCTGAAAATGTCCCTGTAGCCACATCTGCCCCCTGCTCCTGGAATGGTGTGTGAGAGAAGTTAAAAAGATAAAAGAGTGGATTTATCTGTTAGTCGTAAGTGACATTGCATGCACCACTACAGGGTTTATGAGAACGGTGTAGATGTGCTATTTCATAAAACCCTTTAATTTCCAAAAACTTTCTCATTTTAACTATTGAAGGTTCTGGATTATAGTGGTGGAAAGTAACTAACTATCTTTTTCTTTTAAAATTATTTATACTTCTTCTGCCTTAAAACTATCTGGGTCTCAGGAACTCGAAAAAGTCTAAGAAACAACATTCTGTTTTCCTGGACTCTGGATCCAGAAAAGTCTATCTGTATAACCCTGTATAATATAAGAAATTATACATTTTTAAACCTGTGTCTGTAAGTTAATTTTTTTTTTTTTTTCCTTTTTATTTTATATATATTTACCTCTCATTTCTCCTCTATTGCCACCTCAATTTAAATCTCAGTCTGGTTTGACTCATTACTCTGTAATGTATGTACACTGTACAGATATTCACACTATTATTTGTTGTGTCTGATATTTTCAACTACAATTTAAATTAAGTACATTTAATGATAATCTTTTTTATTTGTTTATTTTCTGAATCACAAATTGTAAGTAAAAGACTTTGCAGTTAAAATGAGCTCCTTTAAAACAAACTTCCCTCTCTGCCCACCTGTCTCTAACCTTTATAGTAAAACTATTTTCACTTACCATGTTTGTCTGTCTCTTGCTGTGTTTGTGCCAAGCCTGTCACACCCAGTGCATTTTAATATCCCATGAATACTTCCTGAACTTCCTGAAAAACAAGGTATCTTCACTAGTGATGTTGTATTAGCAACTGACGTCAGAACAGTCCTGCCTGCCTACACATACTGCCTTTCTCTCCATAGCTGATAAGCTCTCATTGGTTAACTACAGTAACTGACACATTTCAACAGGAATCACATCACATAAAGGAAGTGATAAAACCATTTCAAAAGTGCTTCCAGCTGGTTGTCATTCTATTTTGTCTCTCTCGACATAATTTGGATGGATTGCTATAATATTTTGTCCAGACATTCATATTCCCCATAGAAATAATTGTAATGACTTTGGCACCATTATCAGGTAAAATACTCTGGCTTGTGACCAAATATCTACAAAAGTAATGACATTCCCATCAGCCTCAGCTCTACTTTGTATTTACTAATTAGCAACTGTCAGCATGCTATCATAAACATCAGCATGTTAACATTGTCATTGTGAGCATGCTGGCTTTAGCATTTAGCTTAAAGGACCAGTGAGGGGGATTCTGTGGCATCTAGTGGTGATGTTCCAGACTGCAACTAACTGAACACCGCTGGAGTATCTAACAACCTGGGAATGAGAATGGGGTGTGAAATGTGCATGGCTGTAGACTCTTGTTTCTTTGAAGGTATCCTTTCTGTAGTGTGAGCTGGCCTGTTGTCATTTTCACTTCTCACACTGTTTTATTGATTTATTGTTTGTAGTATTGATATATTGACCATTATTGAGCATCATTTAACTATCCTGGTGAAATTAAGTTGAAAAAAAATTGAATTGAAAATTGAAATTCCCAGACTGCAGTTGTTGGACTTCTTGCTTTCTGATTATTATTCACTGTATTCCCATTAAGTTTACAATTACAACAGTTAATATGAAACCGCCCTAACTAGAGTCCAACTGATGTGGGTTTGTTGAGGCTGATTACTGGTATGGCAGTCGATACAGTGAATTTTTAAGCTGGAATGAAAATAGACCGGCTTTGCAGCGATATGACAATGCAAAGCTACTCGGTAGGCTGCTTTCTTAAACAAATAACTTTATTAAAAATATTTATTTAAATAATTTAATATAGAGGCTACACTGTTAACCAATTCTAGAAATGAACACTGAGAAAATAAAGAATAAATAAAAATGAAATAAATATCTAAACAGCTGTACTATAAAAACTACAAGCCTTTCATAATGAGTGACACATAAGATACTATACAGATATGATACAGTCTGTGACAGGCCAATATTGGCTGGATTATAGTAGTCCAACTAATGCTGACCCTGGATGCAAGTTTGACAGGCCTACTGACACATGCATTAAGTTGCATCACAGGAAGTGTATGATGCAGTATGCTTTGGAGATTCACCCATATTAGAGGCTAAAAGTCAAATTGTCTTCTGCTTTTTTTGATTTGCCCTTTCTTTGTCTTCCAACTCCTCAAACTTAAGAAATCCCAATTCTTAATCACTGGAGTGCCTCTGCAAGAAGATGACTGCTGGTCTTGTTGCAATATTTGACATTATAATTTAATTTCTTCAGTTAAAAATCCTTTTCTGTGAGATGTTTACAGTATTTAGTATAGTTGAAAGCAAAGTTTTAGTCTGATTTCTTTGAAGCAAGCAGATATCAGATGTTGTCAAATTCTGTTTTTGCTATTGCTTAGCTGTACTAAACTGATCAGAAAATGCTGGTCTTCATACTTTCACTAAGAGCCTAGAATTGTGCAAACCATCGCCTCTGACCTACTTCCACAAGTCTCAGATTAGCCGGACACTGTCTCCACCTTGTGGCTACTCAGCAAAGGAGGGGAACCATCACAACAGAGCAGAGGTAAATACTATTTATTTAATTATCAGACCATTAAAACAATTAAATACCATAAGTCATCAGAATAGGAAGCTTGACATTTTTGACATTTACTGTGGACCGGATCCTGGCCCGGGGACATTTCATCTGTTTTGAGAATGTGAATTCAAAATGACCAGAGTTAGAGACACTGGAAGAAGCCGTTAACACAATGACAGACCTGCAGTAGTGATCATGGTCTCACCCAGCATTAATCAGGTCAGTGTGAACAGGCAAAGAGATTAGGACTACTGCGCCCAGAGCCATGTAAAAAACACAATGTAGAATTAATTCCAACACAGCTCACTTTTTTTGGGTCCTACGTCTAGAAAATGTTTAACAGCAGACTAAGTGAACTGCACCATTTATTGATTAATCAGTCTTTTTTGATTTGAAAAAGAAAGAACACGAATGACATAAAGCATTAAATAAATAGCCTCTAAAAGAAAAGATACTTTAATTAACATGTTGGTTAAAGGCTGCTACAAATATACATAAAGGTGAGAATATGACTATTTACAGTTCATAATGGGAAGTAAAACAGCAGAGAGAGAGGTGGGAGGTAAGACACAAAGTTTTCTAGTTATAAGCTGTGACTGTGAGGGCCTATTGGTTGACATGGACCCAGCAGGGGGGCCATGGAGGGGGTGTAAATGATCTCTCTCAGCTGGCTGGCTGGAAGAGCCTGATCCTCTAACAGTAGAAGTGTGGGAACAGACCTTTAACAGCTGTCCCCAGTGGTTAGTTTATTGAATCCAAAAACCATAGCCATACATTTGAACTGCAATATTTTTACAGATGAAACAGAGAGCAAAAACAGTTACAGCTGCAGTTGGTACATTTTATGAAAATAACTGTCATATTTTCTATATCCTGACAGTAGAACATGAGACAGATAATCTGTAAAAAACCCAAAAACAATCAGGTTCCTCTGGCTCCTCCTAGTGCTCCTAATGGTATTTACAAGAATCCTCCGGGCCTGGATGAAAACAACCAATCAGAGCAGAGAAAGGAAGAAAAACCCTTTGGGTTGGTGGCTTGAAGGTGATTGATTGTCGAGTCTCATTCCCAGCACTGGTATTTGAGGACCTGGTAATGAGACTCAGCAAACAAATCTCTTTCTTGGCTCTGATTGGTTGTTTTCGTTCAGGCCTGGTAGATTCTTGCAAACGTCATTAGGAGCACTAGGAGGAGCCTATTCTATTATTAGGATATAGTGAAAAAAAAATCAGGTTCCTGAAAAAAGTTTCAGCAAATATGACAAAAAGTTATTTTTTTTATATAAAAGTCACCTACTGCAGCTTTAAAAAGGCTGCTCATACTGCACAGCACAAATGTGCAAAGCTAAAATTCCCCTCTAGGGACCACACATTTCTGTAGAAAAACCATATAACTGCAATCGCTGTGTTGACTACTATTGAGTACAAAGCTCTCCTCAAATATAACCCCTCAACACCAATTAGGAGCTGATAACAATATTTTCAAAAGAACTAAAGCAGTGCAGACTGTTTACAACAAACTTTCTGACAAATTTTAATAGAATTTCAATGGAATGACTATTTTTTCTAGATTGTCTGACTTCAAAGAAACTAGAAACACTTTGAAAAGAATAAGCCCACAAGTAGTAACATACATATCTAATACACAATGCAGCCATCCATTAAATATGATGTGACCTAAAATGCTTTTCTTTTTGCTTTGTTTGGTGCATTTGTCAAATATCAGCAACAAAACAAATGTTGCATGATTTCTTTTAGACACTGCATTTTTCATCTATTAAAGTATACAAACTGTCCGTTATAAAAAGGTGCACATAAGTGATCACATTAAAGACAAACATGTCTAGTAAGTGGCTTGAGAAATCCACACTCATTATTTCCCCCTACACACAGTGATTCTGATTTCTCTTTGCCAGGATGAAATAATAATTGTTGATGGTGAAACAGTTAAACCGAGGAGAGCTGACGTGTCCACCTAGAACAGTTGACAGTGTTTTTGCTGCTGTCAGGTGAAGACCTCAGACATTCCAGAGACTTTTGTTTAATTTCTCACAAATTCAAAAAATGGCTGAGCTAGAATTGTGTTTTGAAAGGGTTTCAAAAGCTTAGGTGTCATTAAAAATCCTTAAACCAAAGCAGAGTCCTTGAATTCCAATATAAGCAAGAACGTCACCAGTAGCAATGAACCCAGAAGTAATAAAGGTTTCACCAGACAGCAGTGATTTGTTTAAGTCTATATATTACTTTGTATACTGTGCAAAAGGAATGTGTTTGTTTATGATTTAATGATGTCTATATGTACATTATATATGTGTGTGTGTGTGTGTGTGTTAGGGTTGTGGCTTGCTGGTGGGAGTGATTATAGGAGGCACGGGGGCACTGGTAGGGATGACTCCGGTGGCCAGCAGGATGATGATGAGGACGATGATGAGGACCACCACCACGATGAGCACAATCAGCTTGACGTTTTTCCACCAGTACGAGCGAGCCACTTTCTGAGACGTCTGCTTGAAGTGCTGAGCCTGAGCAGGGAGAGAGACGAGACAGTCCCTTCAAGAAACATTGCGGGTCAACATGGTGGACTCAGTAGAAGAGGACCCGCTCCCTCTGTAGACATAACAGCTTAATCTAAGGTAACGAAAACACAACTATTCTACATTTAAGATGATTATACACTAATGACAACATAGCTATGAATACTATATTCACTTTCAACCAAAAGATCCTCAGTTACACACTGGACCTGGCTTATTCACTTGCTTGCTGAGAGTTGAGATAAGAAGATTGATACTACTCTTATGTCTGTACACTAAATATAGCTGGATCCTGCTACCAGCATGGCAAACTGTTGTTTTTACACTTCAGTTTTTGTACAAAAAGGAACAAACGAGATCGGTCACACATATGCAAAATCAACATTGGCGCGTATCTGCCTCCTGTTCCCTTCCATTCTATGTGAGCTAAGGGGCAAAGCCGATTCGTATCTCTGATTCAAGTTCAACATTGGTGAACTCTGACCGACGAAATTGCAGCTTCAACCCAACTGCAAATATTGACCCCTAAACGGACTACAAACCAGCAAACTGATTTTTGTGTGACCATAGCTATACAGGAAGATGGCATCCCCATTGTTAATCCTGCCTACAAAATTTGGACAGTTTCTTCAGCTGGTGGAAAAAGACATTGGGCACAACACCAACCCAGTGTGAATTACTGAGAAGTAATATGAGGTGTGAGCAGGGATTCAGAGGTCTGGATCACTTAGACTGCACCAATTCTCATTGGGACTGTCACATTTTTCTAAATTCAAAATTCATGTCATCAGGATAACTTGAAAGATACTATCATCACATAAGTATTGGACATTTATTAACACACATTGTTTATCATTTAAATATCTGAACAATCAACAGTTTCTTACTGTTTGTGTTGCTGGGGAGGGTTAGTGTCTGCTCCTAACTCTCCCTGACATCTTGATCATGTGTCATTGACAATTACTCCTTTGTTCATGCGTGGTATTGTGCATCCTGTTTCACTGGCACGGCATACTGGCACAGCTAAATGGAACTGAGCCATTATTAATGTTATTAGATACACCTGTGCTTTTAGGGCTAAGTCCAAATATCTGCTGTGAGACAGGTCAGCTGTGTGAGACAGCAGTGAGTTGTGCGCTGCTTCAGATAATGAAGTTACTGTGATAATTCGATATGTAGAATTTTTTTTGGACTGTAAAACTGGAATTGAAATGTTATATACTTTTACAGATAATGGCCACTTCATTCCCTATGATGAGCAGCAGGCATTTCTACATGTCATTAATAATGACTGCAATCAATTCATCTTTTCCAGTTTCAAGGTGCTGGCTTTGTGAATGATGGCTGATTAATGTGGCTTCCCAGGACACATCAGTGGAACAGAGCCATGTTAATGTCATCAGTTCCACCTGCGCTCTCCCTGCGATGACAAAATCAAAATGGCTACCGTGAAGAAGGACTGCAGAGCCTGTGCAGTGAGGCATCTAAACCTCAGACAAAAAGGTTGTTGTTTTAACGAGCTTAATCGCCTAATGCGGTGCAGCTGGAACCTCTCACTGAAGAGCGCTTAATTCAAAGTTTAGCAAGAAAAAGGCCACACTAGGTCAGGTTCATTTGTGTTCTGTAATGTCTAGAATATGAGATGGCCTCTGGTGACTTATTAGCCTGTGACCAACCTCTTTATTATGGGAATACGGTCCACCTCTCAACCCACTTTTACACAGAGTTTAAAAAAGACAAACTCCTGTGGAAAGACTGACCCCTGCTTGCAGGTCCTCGGATTTGTCCATGAGGTCATCCAGTCTCTCTCCCCGGGCCAGGATCCGGTCCACATTCTCCGTCATGATGTTTTTCACTCCATCTACCTGATCCCTCAAGGACTGCACCTTGTCCTGTGGCACTGGCTCTGCGGCCACTCCGCCCCGCTCCTGGGATCGGACACAAAAAGGGTCATTTAAGAAAATTAGTGGAGGAACAAAGTTCTCCCAACGCATCAGTTGCAATCCATATTGGTGATAGACGATTAATCAGGCCGATTATCCAGCCTGTTAGATAATCAGCATTGGCCGATGTCTGTGCTCACAAGGCCAATAAAGAGAAAATGTGTTATGACAGCCACACAGCCTCGTCAGTGTGTCTGTCCTGTATTATATCTCTCCTGCATCTCTCTGTAAACATATGCCTTAATTCACTGTAGAATAAAACAGAATTATACACAGTTTTTCTTTATTTTGATATCGGAATTAAATATTGGCTATCTGCAGCTCGGCTTTCTAAATATCGGCATTGGCCAATAAAAACCCAGACTGGTCAACCACTGATCCATGTCCTAATTTTTCTTGTAGTTTCTATCATTGTAAAAAAGGAAGTCACTTTGAATAAAGAACAAAAAAGCAGAAGGAAGAATGTTTTTTGTGGTAGGTGCCAATAGATGCATGGGAATGACGTTTGGTGTCTCAGCAGCCCAGCACTGAGAAAGGGCTGTGAATGACATCGTGTTGCAACTCCAGTTGAAAACATCGTCTTCGATCCTTGATGACATGTGGAGTACCTCAAGGGACAATCACTGGATCAGTTCCTTCTTTGTATATACTGCCTCGAGGTCACACAATCACAACATTAATCAAAGTGACTGGCCTTTATATGTTGGCAGTTGCTGCCCTACTCCCTTTAATTCAATACCATTCAAGGAGCTCGGGTTTCCTCTTTAATAAAGTTTTGAATTTAATCGACAAGTTTTGTCCAGTCATACTTTTTCAATCAAAGCAAGGTTGAATAATTCTCTCTGAGATACTAAATACTAGAACAGATCTGATTTTGCATGTATTCATATTATGGCCTCTCTGACTGACTACTTTCTGCAGGAACATGTACAACCGTTCCAATTTGCTCATAATGTTTTTTTCCTGTTGGTTTTATTGTGGTTTTTAACAACTTTATTTTACAATTTGCATAATGACTTCCATGGCTCTGAAGGAGCTTTTCAAATTTGTCCTAATAATGTTATGAGGTTATCTCAGTCTGGGCTCTGTTACAAACTGGAGGTGTGTTTGAAAGATGTGGGCATTTAGGAGGTTGCGAGGGTCCAATGTTTCGTGGGAAATGTAGGACCCTGTGTTTCTGGAACATATTTAAGGCTAAAAGTCAGGATATTTCAGGCTCTGATGTTTTCATTTTCCCAACTTTAAGCAAGTGCAATATTAAATCGCTGTCCTTTTGAACTGAATTCATAATAAATGTGTGCTCAGGATGGCCAAAGCAGCAGTATCAAGTACCAAGCAGTATCACTGACATTTTTACCAGAAGGCCTTTAATATTCTTTTAGTTATTTCCTCCAATCCCTCAGTGGCTGTCTGACACCTGTACCACTCAATAAAGCACTAGAGTCTAAAGGAATAAAAATCAAACCAGGCTTGTGTTTTCAGACGACAATGAGCATGACAACTGGCAGTGGCTTTGAGAGTCCTCTCAGTCCCTCGGGCCGCTGACCGTGACAGCACAACCAGCTGGCTGTCAAACGATTGATTTTACATTTCTGGGAACGCCTGCTACAGGGTGCCTGCATTCAACAGGAAGAAAAGCTGTTATCTTACACAGTCAGGTGTGATTTCAAAGCAGAAATGCTGTATGAACACATATATGCAGTGTGATGTGTGCGCAAGTCCGCCTACAATGACTTCCATGTCCCACGAGTCAGCACCAGACTGTAAACAACACTGTCTCTAGGAAACACAGCAGGTTTTGCTGTGTCACCAGCTGTCTCCCTTCTCCGTTGTTACCCTCCCCTTCCTTCTCTCTGTTCCTTTCTTCATTCTTTTAAGGCTTTCCACCCCCTCTTTCCTTCAGTCCATTATTTCCCCTCCTTCATTCTTGTCTCTTTATTCTGCTCAATCTTCTCCACCATCTTCTTTCCTTCACTCTTTTCTTTTTCCTTTGGAGGCAATGGTTTATGCACCAATGCTCCTATGTAGCAACTTTTGATCACAATTTGTGTTTAAGCTCACCTATAAAACAGTTTTTTCTCCCTTCCCTCCTTTACCAGTGCTAGTAGTTTGGTGAGGTCCACTGAATGGCTGATAGCTATCAAGTATCAACATTCACAGAAAGTGGGAGACAAAGACAGTACAAGACGTTTATGCACATTCATTAAGCCTCCTATTCAAGTATTTAACCTGTTCTAAGCCTTGTAGAGGAATCACCCAGAAATGTGTTACAACAAGGCAATTTGTAAATGTGATACATAATGCATAAAATGCAAATAATCAATCTTTCCTAGCTGACCACAGGTGTAAATGCAAAGGATGGATTTCAATTGTCTTGGTAGGCCACATGAAATCCTCACTGCTCTTGTCCTAATCTAGCCAAATGTGAAAACTTTAAACTGCGAGTGCACACCACAAGGTCTGAATAGATCACTTGCAGACACTTAACATGCAGTGAGATTTTCCTGTTATCAGCACACCCTAATAAATGCTGACGTACAACCGACACTAATAAAATCTACAGGATACAGGCCACAGTTGGTTTTGGTCTTCACATCAGCACAGCTGAGTCAATATAGTTTAAGTTCAAATGTTAGTTTGGACCTACAAAGAGAGGGAAGGCAATGTTTCAAAACCACAAAAATATGGTTTTTTTTAACCGTTTAGCAGAGGAAGCAACAGTGACATGTCATTAGCCTGCAACAGATAGTCATTAGACCCAGGGGCCCTCAGTGGACAAGCCTTCGTTACTGATGACTGCCTAAGGAGATCTGTGTTAGATAGGAGTTGAAAAACTAATCACATGGCTGATTTGAGCACAGCAGGGAGGAAATGAGGAGGGAAAGACACAATGAATATAGGTTTGTAGTATCTATGGCAATTTTGCAAGTTGTCATTACTGAAATAATGCAACAGACGATCCTCTGTTACAGTAACAGTACCTTGAAGAGCCTGGGACTTCCTGGGAGACTTTTCAAGGACCTTGAGTCAAAAATTGTTCTTCCACATTTTTGGCAATGTTAGCCATTTCACACTACCTTTGAATTTTCAGAAGCTTCTTTTCAATTCAGAACAATAAACTTCAAACAATATAATGACAACTGCTTCTCTTAGCACGGTGTTGTGAGAACAACATGTTAGCATCGGCTCCATTTGAATGTAACTAAATACTAGCAGTAAGCTCAAGCTTTAAAAGTAGATTTTTCTTCTCAGAAAATTGTTGCACGCTGGACAATATATGTGCCGAGTTAATAAAACATTGTATTTTAAGAAATGCCATGAGCCATATTTGCCGGGTTTTGTCTCTATCTGTAGGTATGGTAAGTCAGTATTAAACCGACACATTTTTTAAATGGGGTTTGGCTACAGGCGTCAGGGTCAACTGACACCCAGTGAAGCAGAGTCGTACTTTTAAAATATACGGTGTGCGGAAAACGAAGGTTTATCAGGCAGTGACTGACATAAAAACCTGAAAATGTGTAGTTAGAGTTTCCATGTGAAGTGCCTGTTTTAGCTTGAATGAAAAAAAAAAACATTAGCTTAACTCCCTCTAAAACAGTACACTGCACGGTTTCGGCACTGGGTGCAAATAGGCCATTTTGTTCTTTCTGGGACTTCCCCGCTCAACATTGAAAAGTTAATTCGCTCACTTTACACACATTTTTTGAGGCTTGGTGCAACATTTTAAAGTCAAATGTAAAATGTTTTACATACACCTGTTGCATGTCGGGTCTGACGTTAAACATGGTGACGGCGGAGAGGCTTCACACACAACAAAACACAAGCTTCAGCCACTATCACCTACCGGATCAATGTCCATCTTGATGGAAAAGTGCCCTTTGACCGCAAACCCGATGGATCGACTTTGTTTTAAGTTGATCCTGGTATTTAAAACCTCTCTAAAGACTTGAGAGTTTGATGCTCCTCCAAAGCGAATACGTTTCCTCCTCTGTTTAACTTCCTGGTTGTTTTTTTCCTTCAAACTGAATTCCTTCGCTTCGAGAGTCAAGCAGACGTAAGACAACCGCAGTGTCCCGACTGTAACGTAAAAATAAAGGACAAGTCGCAGCTCTTTCTAAGGAATGTAGCAGGGTAGAGTCACTAGTTAGCATAAGTGAAAAGTAAATACTTTTAAAGGACTAAGTTTGTATTGAACTTTATCGCACTTTAACCTTGTTTTACTGCAATATCACATGTATTTGAAACTAGAATGAGAAAACACATTTTAACAAATGATATTGGCCTGGATTTGTATGTAGCCCACAGAATGAACAGCAGTTTAGTAAGGACATTTGTTTTTAGTTTGTTTTACTTTTTTAAATATACATTTACATGATTTATTTTCACTTTTTAATACTTATAATAGCCTTATGTATTTTGTTGCGTCTTTTTGTTGTTGCTCATTACCCGCGTTACACCATGTTTGCGTGCTTTTATTTTGAAGGGTGTTTCCTTCATTGTTGTATAATACAACAACTTGATGTGGCGCTCCACTTTTTAACCTCGGGATGGCGTCATACTGAGGCGTTTCTACCATGTTCTAATTACTGAATCATTAAGATAAACCTATCACACAACTAAATATCATTTTATATGTTCCTTGGCTGAAAGGGCTCTGAGGTGTGAGCTAGGTGTTGTGTTTATGATCAAACAAAAGGACTGACTAATGAAGGTGTGCTAAGAAAGCCAGACTAACAACATAATAATTTACAGTGAGCCAATAGCAAGCATAGACATACTACCAAGAATCAAAATCACCACGGGTAAAAGACAACCTCATTTGACCAATTCACTGCTTTTCTTTCACCAACAATAGTTCTTCATTAATAACAGCAAAGCAAAGTAATTGCTAAACAACAAAAATAATAGTTATTAATGTAGTTATTTTGTACATCTGAATGTACAGCTTTCAGTCTCAGTCTGTGTGGGGTTGCTCTGCAACATGCGACTCTCCACACTGCCATCTCAGTATGACTCATTTTTCCAAGTGATGTCTGTTTTGGTGTTTCTAATGGACAACAGTGACATGTTATTTTATTTCTGCCACATTGTCAGAAATCATCTACAACCAATGACTGCAGTGTTTTCCAAACTCATGTTGTAATCTCGTAGGCAGGACTGAATGTTTTTCCACTTCACATAACATTAATAGGCTTGAGAAGTTGAGTCATTTCTCAGTATGTTGTATTGCTGATGGCAACTGAACATGGAATATTACAACTCATTCCATAACACAATACCTCTGTATCTCTACATCAGCAGCACTGCTGCATGTCACAGATCCTATTTGATTAGATAAAGATGCTTTTTCTAGTGTTGAAAATGGGAACAGATAGTAGTGAGAATGAGGTTTTATTATTAGTCATTATTGATGTGATTTATTTTCTAAATAAATCAATGAGTGAAACTGAACCCTGTCAAAGGCTGTAGAACTGTTGGGAACTTGGTGTCTTCCTCAGCTGAGTGAGTGACTCCTCCCAGCTCTCCAGATCCATGACATACTGATGTCATACTGAGTCCCACCCAGCCAGCAGCACCAGTCCTGACCAACCGGTTCCACCTCTAGGAAGGTGGCGGTGAGGCCTAAATGCCGATCATTACCTGCTGTCATGTCAGACCACTGCTGCAGGCTGCTCTGAATCACAAGCAGCTAAAAATAAACATTATGTCCACTTTGCACAAACAATTTGCCTGACAGGCATTAGCAAGCGTGCTAAAAATACTGTATGTTTCATTCTTGGAAATACAAATGGGGGGGGGAGGGAAATACCTAATGTTTTGGCATTAACCTCTACAACAAGTTTTAGAAAAAGGCTTTTATTTCTTTTGACAATATACATTTTTTGTGCGGTTGTTGAGCAGTAAAATTACTACACACAGAATAAGCATCAACAGGACAGAATAAAAGAAAAGATAAATGTTATGTCTTCCAAGAAACAAAGACAGATTTTACTTTAGAACAGTTCCTGATTACATACTGTATCTGTTGGAAAACAAATAAAAACATAATAAAATCTAAACAAGAGTCACAGAGAAACATCAGAGTTTATACACAGTAAAGAGATGAATAAGTAGAGAATAGCATGAAAGAATAGCAGTGATTCTTCATACAACACCCCACCATTCATTTCTCCTAGTGGCCTTGTCTGATGATGATATCCGACATATCATCAACCTTCACCAGCTCCAAATTCTGTTGAGAACAAAACATATTCCACATTGCACAGTAAAATAAATAGACAGAAATAATTTGCATTCTTCAATAGGTGGCCACATATTACTTTCTTAATGATATGTTTGATTCCATTTCTTGCTCCCAACCAAGAAATGATGTGGTGAATGGATCTCTCATTTTTTTCTGTCACCAATAGAACAATGCAGTTTCTTTTTTGTCACACCCAGACATAATGTTTAAAATGGCTTATTTTAAAACAAAACGTACCTTTTCATTGGCAAGATGAAGCAGAGCGACAAATGCCAGAGGCACTGACAGGTTCTGGGCCATCGTGTTTGGCAATCTGGACCACCACAAAGACAAAGAGGAGAAAGACACAATACATTTTACATTCCATCAATCACCAACCTTTAAGGAAGTAGTTTTAGTTCTGCTGCTAGCTGGTTGCCAGCAGGGTTCAAATGACACATCATATCTGCCAGGCTAACTGGCAAAAACATTTCCACCCACACAAGTGTTTTGGTTCACAGATCACAGGAACACAGGGTTACTACATGAACTGCCAGCTCCAAATGAACTTTTAGCCAAATCATGAGCTTTGAAGACTGTGGCTGATTGTTATGTACTTATCAAACAAGACAGGCAACGTCACTCTACAGATAAAAATCATTCTTTACAAAAATATAGACATACTGGAGAAGAGTTTAAATCTACACTTCATATCCAAACAGAAACTGGCACAGTGAAAATAGGTCAAACACAACATGCACAGATACACCGATCAGTCATAACTTCTGCAGACCCTCTTTCTGTGTTCTGACACCTTTCTATAAGAACCTTTGCGTGCATCAATGAGACTTGGCCCCCCATGACTCTGTCTCCAGTTCAACGCATTTCCTTCCTTGGACCACTTTTGATAGGTACTGACCTCTGCAGACCGGGAACACCCCACAAGAGCTGCAGGTTTGGAGATGCTCTGACCCAGTCGTCTAGCCATCACAATGTGGCCCTTGTCAAAGTCGCTCAAATCCTCACGCTGCCCATTTTTCAACACATCAACATACGGACAAAATGTTCACTTGCTGCCTAATATATCCCACCCACTGACAGGAGCCATGATAACCAGTGCTCATAATGTTATGGCTGATTGGTGTATATCTGCATGCAATGTTTTTTGTTATGTTATTATTATTCCTCATTACTGCTGTGTAATGGCAGGCATGGTAGGAAGTCTGCTGGTACCTTTGAAGCAGCGTCTTTGTGGTCTGACTGAAGACTTTCTCCCCACACACCTCTGGTTTCTCCATAGTCTCCACCTCCTGTAGGGAACATGAAGAGACAACTAATAAAACAGAGTCAAACAGATATACACAGCTAAATCTCTCACTGGCTGCATGTTTGCTCTACCCACCAAATGTGAGCAATGACCAAGGACTAGAGTTGCAAAAGCCAAAACTGATGTTACCACCTCATACACCTGTGGACAAAAAAAGCTGATACAGTACATTGGCTGTTCTTTTGGGCTGATTTACCTCTGTGGGTTTTTCTGGGCTTTCGGTCAGAAGAGTCCACATGTTGTTCTTTAGTCTCTTCATGTCCATTTTCTTTGCGGTCTTAGCATAGTTGATTTCAATCTTGTTGACCTACAAAAACAAGCAATAATGCAAGAACAAGTATGTAAAAGTGCAAAATTAAGAAATCTTTTATAATCATTCCAATTCAAGAGGAGTAGAATATTTTGTTTAAAATGTGCCCACGGCCTTCAGGTTTTGTGTTTTGTTACATTAAGAGTTTTGTCAGGCGCTAGAATTCTACCGCTAGAAAGAGTCTCTGCGACACTTAAAATCCTGTTACTCATAATGTTAAAAAGGAAATTGATAATATTTTAGAGGTACATGTTACTCCAGAACCAATGCTGTTTTTGTTGGGAGCCATACCCAAAGACCTATATAATGCAGATCAGCGATCATATATAGTGAGAATTCTTTTATTAGTAGCAAAGAAAAATGATTACAGTGAAATGGAGGGATGTAAAACCGCCAAGAATAGGGCAATGGGTCCAGAGACTGAAAAATGTATACATGATGGAGCGAATGACGGCAAGTCTGCAGCAGACTATGGACAGTTTTGTGCAAAGATGGACTTGTATTTCGAGGTACCTGGGGGTTTGATTGAGGGGATGATGTGATGGAGTAATGTTGGGAAGGGATGCCTATCTTTGGAAAATCGTGCTTAGCCACTATCTATCTACAGATATTTGCTCCTCTGCCTGTTGTTGTTATTGTTACTATTATTAATATTATAACTATTCTATTCTATTTTCATTTATCTGATCTTTTACGTACTTATTACTATTTTGCTTCATATTTACTTATTTTATTTCTATGTATTAATTATATATACACGTCTTTATTCCAATTTATATATAAGTGTGTGTGTGTGCGTGTGTATATGTATGTGTGTGTGAGTGAGTGAGTGAGTGAGAGAGTCTGTGTGTGTGTGTGTATGTATGTGCATTTTATTACCTATTTAGTTATTTAATTTTATTTATATCTATTTCGTTTATTACATTTATACATTTGTCAGGAAATGTTATGTAAAATGATTTAAAATGTTTAAATAAAAAGTTATAATTAAAAAAAAAAAATATATCCTGTTACTCACCCTGTGTGGTTCAGGTACCAGATCATCCTCCCCATAGGTTGAGATGCCCTCTAGATCTTGTGAGGGCGGAACTATACTGTCACCTGAAGGCTGGGTATCGTCTGAACCGGCAAACCCTTCAACATCATCATCGCTGTCGCCACCCTGAAGAGGAAGATGGACAAAGAGGT